GTGGAATCAGTGGAGGACATGGATTTCTAATCAGAAAAGTTGCCAGACCTTCTATCAGTATGACATAGCTAAGACACAACTCATGTTGGCATACCTAAAATAGCCCACTTAAGGAAACATATTTGTTCATGCATTTGATCTATTTATGTCGTAACTTTGAAAGTCTGAAACTGGGCTTGCGTGGTGGCTAAGATGACTGGAACCCACACAGCTGACTGCCCAGTATAATCCCTGGACCTGGCGGCTTGAAATACACACTGGGCACATGTGCGTGCATGCTGAAAATCCTGAAAGGAGGGAGTAATGGAGAAGGGTTGTAGCACTATAATGCCCATGTTGCTGGTTTCTTGCGCTCTCTCTCTCTCTCTCTGTCTCTCTCTCTCCAGCAAGTGCACATGACACCGATCATATTTTTTAAAAGAAAGAAGGAAAAAGTTTTAAAACTTATGATTTATATTGAGTTATAATGTGTTCATTAGTTTAATAATACTCTTGTGTCAGCAAGGGGAAAAATCATAGTGATTACCTCAAGGAATACTTTACTTTGTGTAATATTAATGACTAGCTGGACACCAAACTGATTTCTTCCTCTTACGTGGATCACATATAGACCACACTTCCCATTAGCACTTATTTTTCTCCAGCCATGTGCCTGAGTTCCACACAATGGATTCAAGTGGAACTAATGAACACTACTTTCCAAACTAGTCCATAAGAAAGGCTCATAATCGATCTTCCTCTTATTTATTCTGGTAGTGAGGTGTAGGCAAGTAGAGTAAACATGTTGAAGATAACTGAAGAATACACGGAAAGGGGCCTGGAAAATTAATAAGAGAGAGGCTGAAATCCCTGATGCACTATTTGAGAAAAGCTGCCTACCAAGTATAAAAACCCATTTTAAAATTACAGTAGTCCTCCGTACTGTGGATTCACTTTTTAAAATTTCAGTTCCCCACAGTCAACGAGAGTCCCAAAATATTAAATGGAAAATTCTAGAAATAAGTTATTTATTTATTTATTTTGCCATAGGACATGTGCATTTACCAGAGAGAGACAGAGTGAGAGGGAAAGCGAGAAATACCCACCCTCCAGGGTGGATGGCCACACTACTATCCTTCTTTTTTTGTTCTCCTCTCGGAACTTTGGGAATGCACAAATAGGTGCCCCATACTCCCCAAGCCACTGGGTCTTGGTCTCTTCTTAAGTTTCAATTGAATGCCATTCTGAGTAGCATGATAAAAATCTCACACCATCTTGCTCTGTTCTTCTCAGGAGATGAGTCATCTCTCTGGCACTTCTATGTTGTATAACCTATTCACCTATTAGACACTTAGCAGCTATCTCCATTATTAGATAAACTGTTCAGGGATCACAGTGTCTGTGTTCAAGTAAGTCTTATTTTGCTTAATAATCATCCTAAAGCACAAGAGGAGTGATCATAGCAATTCAGATATGTCAAAGAGAACCCATTAGATGCTTCCTTTAAGTGAAAAGGTGAGAGTTCTTTGCTGTATAAAGGAGAAATATTGTACACTGAGGTTGACAAGATCCATGGTAAGAACGAGTCATCTAACTAGAAACCTGTGAAGAAGTAAAAAGAAATTTGTACTAGTGTGATTGTCACACCTCATCTTACAAAAGCAACCACAGTGGTGATAAGTGATCAGTTCAGATGAATAAGCCATTAACCTTGTGGGGAGAAAACATGAACAGGGGTTCATTTCAATTGATGACAATGTGTCATGTCAGAAAGCATTTAACCTATCTGAGACATCAGTAAGGGATCCCCTGAAACATGTGTCAGTAAGCCAGTTTCTGTAAGTAAGGAATGATTACACAGATGTAGCAGTAGTTTTTGAAATGTATAAATAAAAAATTATGAATGTATATTGGAGAGACTGGAATCTGTTATTAAAGAGGTGGCTGCCGCATTTCTTACAGAATCGAAAAAGTTGATTAAGGAGAGAGGATAACATCCATAGCAAGTATGCCATTGTTATGGAACTGGCCTCTTCTGGAAGAAAATGCTTAATGAAATCTACATTCAGGACCAGCAGGGGATTTGACCATATGGTCAAATCCACAGTCAAGTCTCATAATGCGGGTTAAGGCATTGGATCCCATATGGTCAAATCCACAGTCAAGTCTCATATCATCTGGTGGCTTAAAAAATACGTCAGGTATGTTTGGGTGTGTGTCTTCTGCTCATTCTCCTTTCAGGGATTGTGGGATGGCTATTTCCTGGGGGTGGGGGGGTGATTTTTCACTTTGCCTCTCTCTCTCTCTCTGGTGAGTGCATTCACTCTATTAAAAAAATAGTTAAATAAATTTACAATCATAAAATATGAAGGAGGTACCAAGGCATTAAAATGGAAGGACAGATTAGCATGGTGCTATGTGACAATGCTTCACGGCATGTGATAAAACTAGGCATAGTGTGCAGAATGAGGAGCCCCTGTATTCTCAGAAACAAAACCAAAAACCCTCTGCTTCTAGAAGCATAATCAGAAAGTGTGGGAGATATCCATCTTAACTAGGGAATGGTCCCATAAGAGCTTCATCCCAGAAGTGGAAAAATATTTCAAAGAAATATTAGTCTTATTAATAATGTCTTATTAATACAAGACAATATACCTTACAATTTTGAGTCTGTTTACTATGAGAATAAAAATGTTTCATTTTTATTTTTGCTTTTAAATATAATCTCATTGGTCTAACCCTTTGACATCATTTGGGTTGTCAAGGTCATATATAGTTGCCAGGTAGTTGATCACACTCAATCAACAATTTTTGCAGACTTTAATTTGGACATAGTGCAATGCTTGAAATTATTTACAGTTGTTGATGCAATCATATTTATCAAAGCTGCGATGGAAAAAAAAAACTAGACTGTAAATGCCTATTGGAAGAACTTACAGAGTGAAACCATGAATAATTTTAAAGGCTATCTGGGGAGCAACGGAGAAGTTAGAAAATCATTCATGTAACCAGGCAAGTCGGTGGAGAGGAATTCACCAACAAGCTTGATGAAGAAGTGAAAGAGTGGTGATAAAAGCCATTGACAAGTGTTAAAAATGAGGAATTAGAAAAACTAGTTGAGTCATCTGTAGAGGAATAGGGAAATGAGGAAGAAACTCAAGAAGAACCAGCAATGTGGACAAAGTAATTTGAATTGCACAGTGTGATTTTCAAGCTACGAGGTCTGGGACTCAAATTGGACAAAAGTATGGAATATTATCCTTAAATAATGCAGCATTAAAGTCATCTTTGTAATCATCAATGGATTAAAACTTCTGTAGCAGCACCTAAATAAGTTAAAAAGAAATACATAATCTTCAATTACAATGTTTTCCAAAAGATTTCAACAAAATTAAACTATTGAGGATTACCCAACCATCAACATTGTTTACTCTTGACATACAACCATCAATATCATCATGGTTCAATAATGCAGGATCCTCTAAAGCAGATGATCCTCTTTTTGACATATCATCAGGTCAAAAGTAGCATAATGCTATGTCACAATGCCTGTGTGATTCACAGCACTTCATCTCATTTCATTATCTCACCTCATCATAAGAAGGGAGAGTACAGTACAATAAAATCTTTTGAGTGAGAAAGACCACATTCATAAAACTTCTGTTATGGTATATTGCCTTAAATGATCTATTTTATTGGTAATTACTGTTACTGATCTCTTAACTCCACCTAATTTATAAACTCAACTTTATCATAGGAGTGTAAATACAGGGGGAAAAAAAAAGACCATACATCTATATACATGGTTTAATGCTATTGGCAGCTTCAGGCATCCTCTAGGAATCTAAGAAAGAATCTCCCTCAGATAAGGGGAGGGAGATACTCTACCTGAATGAGAAATAAACTTCTATCATGTTTCAGTCATTTTATGCTTTTAGTTTGTTACATAAGTTTTTTATTGTTTCTTTATTAAAAATAATGTATAGGGGCCAGCAGGTGGTGAAGTGGTTAAGGTACTGGACTCCCTCATGGCTGGCTATGGTTTGAGTCCCAGACCCAGTAGCATGAAAATCACACTGGGTGCATGTATGTGCATGCCCAAAATCCCAGGAGGAGAATGGAGAAGGGATTGTGGCATGGCCATCCCCCCTGACTTCTCACTTTCCCTTTTACTGTCTCTCTCTCTCTTTCTAGCAAGAACATGTACCTTATGGAAAAAACATAAAAAAAAAAAAAAAGAATAGGGACAAGCAGATGACTTAATGGTCATGTCACTGGACTCCAACATAGTTGACTGAGGTTCAAATCCCAGACTCAGTGGCTTAAAATTCCTACCGGGCATGTGTGCATGTCCAAAATACCAAGAGGAAAATGGAGAAGGGATTATGGCATGGCCATCCCCCTTGGGGGTAATTTTCTTGCTTTCTATCTCTCTGGGAAGCATATACACACTATAGCAAAAATATAAAAGAAAGAAAAAAGACTAGTTTATAGGTGTTGAAATATATATACAAATATAATTTAGAAATTTCCACAATCTGAGACCATTATATTTTAATTATTTATTACTATTATTGTTATTATTATTTTAACTTTGCTATAGGGCACATGTGCTCATCAGAGAGAAAGAGAGAGAGGAGAGAGAGAAAGCAAGCCACCAGGTACAGTAATTTCACCATGGTCAGCCATGTTGGAGTTCAGCACCCTAACCACCATGCCACCTGCTGGCCCCAAGAGATCATTTCTTTATATAAAGTGTTCTAGTCAATCACCTATCTTCTTTAGAAACAATATATTAGCTGTACATGTTTTTCAAGAATTATTTATTATTATTATTATTATTATTATTAATTTACTTCAAGGCTTGTACAATCACCAGAGAGAAAGAAATGGAGAGAGAAAGGCAAATTGAGAAAATAAACTTCCAGATCCAAAATTTGAACCACAGTTGCCCATATGGGATTCCAACACCATGCCACCTGCTGGCCCATAGCAATACATATTTTTAAAATGTATACTAAGTGTTAACTTCGGCAGCAGATATGCTAAAATTAAATCAATACAGAGATTATCATAATCATGGTCTCTATGCAAGAATGATATGCAAATTTATAAAGCTTTCCATACTTTTCATACTAATCAACTATTAATATAGGGCTAATCTACAAGTAAATGGCTTTTTATTACAAAAAACTACTGTATACAATAAGACAAAGTGATTATTACAGCAGACACACAGATAACAGCACTAAGACACAAGATACGTAAGAAAAAAAAAGGAAGCATGACTCATCCAAAAGAACCCAAAGATTCTCCGCTAACAGACTACAAAGATAAGGAAACAAAAAAGGCTTGATTTGGGATTCACATAAGTGACTTTAAGAAAACTCAATGAGATACAAGAGTATTCAGGTAAACAATTCCACAAATCAAAAAAGTAATTCATATTATTAATGATAGTTTCAACAGTGATAGATATAATAGAAAAATATAAAGCAAACCTGGAGATGAAGAATTTAATAGATGAAATTTTATAAACTATAAAGTTGAGAGCTTCAGCAGTAGGATAGATAAAGCAAAAGAAATAATTTCTGAACTTGAAGACAGAGCTTTTGGTTACCCACTCAGATAAAGAAATAGATAAAAGGGATGAAAAAAGCCTCTATAACTTATTAAGCCTATAGTCACATCATGAGAGTTCCAAAAGGATGATAGAAAGTGGCACAGAAAACCTACTGTATGAAAAGATACACAAAAACTTCCCAATTGTAGAAAGAGATATGGTCCTCCAGATTCAGGAAACACAAAAGTAGACAATTTAAAAAAGATCTTTCCAGGGTGTCACCTGGAGCTTGAGTAGCTGCAAACAGGTGTCTGAGACAATGGCCAAGAACAAATTCAGAGATCAGAAGTCCAGGAAAGTTTTTCACATAGCCAGCCAAAAAAAACGTGAAGGCTAAAAACAAAGCAAAACCAGTTACTACAAATTTTACTAGATAAACATTACAAATGATGCAAAAGTTAAGAATGAATAAAGCTTTGGAAACTACAAAAAAGAACTAGCACACTTTTCAAGAGGCCTTTCCCTTGAATCTCTGCAGAAAGAACATATTCCTCAGCTGTATCATGAAAATGAACCTGTTAATGTTGACGAAGCTACGAGCTTAATGGCTCAGTTGTAAAGCAGTGATGATTTATCAAAGTATCCAAAAATTCAATAAATTGCATGTTTTATAAAAAAGCAAATAAATAAATAAAGAGAGCTTTCTGAGGGTCAGCAGATGGAGTGACGGTTAAAGCGTTGGACTCCCACATGGGACCATGGTTTGAGTCTAAGACCCAGTGCTTGAAAATCATGCCAGGCATGTGTTTGTGTGTGTGTGTGTGTGTGTGTGTGTGTGTGTGTGTGTGTGTGGGAGAGAGAGAGAGAGAGAGTTGAGATTTGGGGCATACATAATCCCAAGTAATGAATGGAGGAGATAAAATTGTGGTATCACTTTCCCTCTCTCTGTTTCTCTCTCTTCATGCAAGCTAATGCACCCTATGGCAAAAAAAAAAAAAAAAGCAAACAAAGAGAGAATCATAAAACAGCAAGTTAAAAGTGTCAAGTAATTTATAAAGGAATTTGCATGGGACATAGATAGCATAATGGTTGTGGCTGGACTCCCACACGGCCAACTGTGGTTCAAGTTCTGAACCTGGTGGCTTCCTTTCTCACTTCCCCTCTCTCTCTCTGTCTCTCTCTGGTCAAATTGAAAAATAACAATAATAAATAAAGTTAAAATTAAAAAAAAAAGAAATCTTACAAACCAGAAGGGAATGTGATATTACTGTCAAGGTTCTGAAAGATAAAAGCTTCCAATCAAGAGCAGTATACCCAGCAAAGCTACCGTTCCAAATTGATGGTGAAATACAGTCTTTCATAAACAAAAATTGGCAGGATTCATCTTCAGTAGATCAGCTGTTCTAGAAATTTATATGAACAAACACAGGCTATATGTATTCTGTGTTTTGGCTTCTTTTGTAAATATATTAGTGAGAGTGATACATGTTGTAATTTATACATGAACATGATTTAACAAAAACTACCAGGAGTAAGCATTTCTTTTTGTTAAATTATGTTCATTCTATTTGAACATAGCACAATTTTTTAAATCTATTTTTGTTTTTACAAATATTTAGATTTTTTAACATGAGGTCTATTATGAACAAAGCAACTATGAAAATTTCTTCACAATATTTTTTGTAAACATGTGCTTTTATTTCTCCTAGGTACAAACCTAAAAGTGGAATTTCTAGGACACTGAAGGGTATACATTTTGACTTTTTTTTCTTTGCAAAAGTTACTAAACTTTTATTTCAAATTTGTTGTATTATATTTAACTTTTCCCAGATCTTTACTTATTTTAGATCCTCATCAAAATTTAGTATTACACATTTTAATTTATTCATTTTACTGGGTGGAAAGCGGTATCACATTATTTGCTTAATTGTATGTTTCCAAAGATTAATGGTGTAGAACAATTTTGAAGTCCTTAAAGGTTGTCTATTACATGCATAATGTTCATCTTATTTGAGAAGAGTCTTTTCAAATTTCTTGCCCATTTGATTTTATTGGACTGTTTGTGTTTTTATTGAGTTTTAAGTGTTCTTTATGGCATTTGGATATAAGTCCTCTGTTACGGTGCATATTGAAAGTACTTTCTGGGTGCCACTGTGGGTGGCACAGTGATAATGCTAGTGACCTATAATGATGAAAGTCATATGGCCACTTTCAGGTCAGCCTGAAAGACTTGGGCAACATGTGTCTAGGATCCCAAGATGCTAAGGAGATGAAGATCTAGGGAAAGGAGATTGCAGTGTGATGAGGATCTGCTGAGAGTAATTTCTCTCTTTTACCTTTCTTTCTCATTCATGCAGACATTCATGCCATCTTAAAAAGAGAAGGGAAAACAATAAAAAGTATTTTCTTCCAGTATAACTCTTTTTTTTCTACTTCTGAAGAGTGTCTTTTACCAACAGAAAATTCTCAATATATATTTTTTTAATTTGCCAGGGGGTATATGCACTCCATAGAAAGAGAGACAAAAAGAGAGAGAATGAGAAAGCACCCTCTCACTCATAGCGAATGATGATCTTCCAAACCTTCTCCTCCATTTCTCCTTCCTATTAGAATTTCGGGTACATGCACATGTGCACGTGGTACATTTATCAAGCTACCATGTCCAGGACAAAAAACTGTGCAGTCAGTAATGTGGGATCCAGCCACCTTAATCACCATACTGTGGGATAATATGAAAATTCTCAATTTTGATGAAGCCCAACTTATCAATTTTTTTCTTGTTAATCCACTAGCGGATGCATGTGCTCTCTAGGAGAGACAGAAAAAGAAGGAAAAATTAATAACTGCCCAGTATTAGGTTTAGACACACTGCAATCTCTTCTCTTCTATCTCTCTCTCCTTTCAAGGTTTTGGGCACACATGCATGTGCACTTGGCAAGCTACTAGGTCCAGAACTTGAGATATGCAGTTAGCTATGTGGAATTCAGTAGACTTAGAAATCATGCCACCACCTGGTCCATTCATCAATCTTTTTATTTTATTGGATTTATTTATTTATTTAATTCCATTTGTTATCATTATTTTTTTTATTTGATGAGAGAAAGAAAGAGAGAGAGAGAGACAGAAAGGCAAAGCAATTCACTAAGTCCGGGACTTGAACCACGGTGGCCATGTAAGAGTCCAATCCCTTTAACCACTACATCACCTGCCAGCCCCCATCACTCTTTTAATTTTTGAGTCATAAGAAGTTTTTGTCTAGTAAGACAGGTCCATTTTGTGGTAATGTAAATAGACATACTTGGCAAAGGTCCTGGGTGTGCATTCAAGGACCCGTATGAGCACATCAGGTATGCAAACATGCCCGTGATCTTGCTTGGCCGGGTGTATGATGGCAAGGGAAATGCTTTGGGAGTATTTCTCTTTCTCTTAACTCTGAAGAAAGACAGACTCCTAAAAAAATGTTTTTCTAATCTAAGAATATACTTACTTAAATCTGCGTAACTCTAAATTTCATACTTAGTTTATATCCAATCTCAAATTGTCTTTTGTGTACAGTGGAAGGCTAGATATGGGATTCTTTCTTTGTTATCTTCAAAAGGATTATGCAGTTGTCAGACCTATTTCTTGAAAATAACTTCTTCATTCCATTTCATTTTCTGATACCATCCTCAAAGATCAGTGAACCATACAAATATGGATCTATTTCTGAAATCTAAAATGCTTCGTAAATATGATACCAAATGCACTCTTTTAATTATTGTAGTTTAAAATAAATTAAATACATAGCCTGGTACTCTTTCCGATTGTTGTTTTTGCAAATCTAGGTTCTTTTTATTTGCAATAAATGTACAGTTTACTTGTCAATTCATGTAAAAAAATCAAGTTATAATTTTCATGCAGTTCTGATAAATCTACAGATTAAATTTAGAAAATAACATGTTAACAATATTGAATCTTTCAAATTTTATTTAATTCTTATATAATTTTTTTTCACACCTGTTTTTATAAATTTTAACTATAATATTTTTCATTTTTTTAGTAAAATTACTCCAAAGTATTTTATGCTTTTTAATGCTAGAGTAAAGAGGTTTGTTTGTTTGTTTATTTCAATTACTTATTACTAGTGCTTAAGAAGGTAATTTTTGGGACCAGAAGATGGCATAATTGTTGGACTCCCATATCCATGCAGACAACCATGGTTAAGTCCCAGATGCAGTGTCTTGAAACTCATGGCATGCACATGCGTGTGCATCTCCAAAAACTCAGAGGAGGTTGGAGGAGAAGGGATTGCAATCTGGCTATCCCCCTTGAGGGATGACTCCTTGCTTTCTGTCTGTCTGTCTCTTCAGCAAGTGTTTGTGCAAAAATCTCTCTCATAGACGCCGGCAGGTGGCATGGTGGTTAAGGGTGTTGGACTGCGGTTCAAGTCCCAGACCTACCAGCTTGCTTTCTCACTTTCTATCTCTCGCTCTCTCAGTCTGTCCCTCTCTGGTCCAATTAAAAGAAATTAAAAAAAAAAACTTTCTTAAAAAAAGAAAAGGTAATTTATATATATTACTTTTTAAATT